TGGCGAGCTGGTCGAACAAGTTTCCCAACAATAACTCGACGATGCTTTGGAGATTGTGCGAGAAGGAACAGGAAAGAATCTCTTGAATCGATGCTAATAAAATATTATTACGATCGACAAATAAAAAAGATATACAGCATTGCTGAGATATATTATTACTATTATTATTTGACGCGCTAACATTTTTTATCGTTCGATAATCCATTGTTTTTTCTGCATTATTTTCCGTCTACGTCATTCTGTATGTACTTACACAAATTTTTTTCCAGTTAATGTCCAATAAGAATTGACTGATGTCTTTTATTTTTTTCTTTTTCTTTTTTTTTCTTTCCTTTTTTTTTATAAAATATTTAAAAATTATTTTAAATCTCTATGGCAATAAATGATATAAACAATGATATAACTATATATAAATATAATATCAATTAGGGATTAACATTAATAGGTCTTTTTTGCATGATACTATAAAAATTTTTAAACAGAATTTTTTTAATAAAATAATGTTAACTTATTGCCGATGTTGTGCGATTTGTTACTTCTGGATTATTTATTTTTTTTTTTTTTTTTTTGGGCTTGCCAAACATAAAATTTGCGACAACAATCCGCAAATCATTGAGAAGATTTCAAAACGAAATTTGACTGGACATTAGCGAAATCACAATTATGTGAAAATGTCAATCAAAAATCTAGAAAAGAGATTTTGTGCAAAAATAATTATGGTTGCCATTTGATAATCGATTATAATATATGTCACAGATACAGTCAAGATTAACAAAATTTTTTTTAATTTAAATATTTTATATTTGATAATTCTCTCTTATTGGAAAACCCATTATGTACGCAAAATATGTGACGTGCTTATAATAAAAAAAAAAAAAGGGATTAACGTATCGATTTTCTACCTCTTTCATATCTTTTTATAGGCATAAATACATTCTTTTCAATGAGACCTATCTTAAATAATATTTAACTTCAAGATTTATAATTACACAAAAACCAATCAGAGAATTTCATTACGCAGTGCATAAATTTCAATATATTTATTTCAAATAGTTTTTTTTTTTTAACAATAGCATATCAGATATGATTAATAAACGATTATCTAGATTATAAACTTAACATCGATCGCTTAATATTTCAAAGTATATACATTAGGAATTGAATTTTAATCGACTTTGAAAAACCTCGTAAATATGAATATTTAGCTGGAAAAAAAAATGTCCTATACAAGAGAAGACATAGACAACATAAGCAAATGATAAGATTTGGCAATGATAAATACGTTTGTGATGATAGAATACGTTTAAGATACAAAAACAAAAAGTGTAATTTTTGGATCGAGGAAAACTTTGAAAGAGAAAGAAAATATGACGGATAAAATGGGAAAACTAAAAGTTGCATACTGAAAAAGAAAAGTGAAAAGATGAGATAAGGAGAATAGTGGCTTACCTCTTAGAAGATCGACGACATGAGAGAGAACTCGATGAACGAAAGTGAACTCGTTCTTCCACTGCTGTTCTTCTTCTTCTTCTTCTTCTTCTTCTTCTTCCTCCTCCTCCTCCTTCTCTTGCTTTCTTTTCTCGTACACCTTCTTTCTTTCTCTCTCACTCTTTCTCCCTGCGCTCTCTCTCTCTCTCTCTCTCTCTCTCTCTCTCTCTCCCTCTATCTATCTATCTATTTCTTTCTCTATAATGACACTCAAAAGAATAAAAGAAATACGCAAATATCTTAATAATGAAGAAATTACTGGGAACGATTACACGCACTTTGAACGACGACGGTCAGAATACGACTGTTGCCGCTACGGTGATCCACGAGCACGTGGACCTTCGGTACCACGACAATCCTTCGTAAATATTCATTTACGTGCCGTGCTCGCTCCAACACAGTTGCATTCAAGCAAGGACGCGAGAGACGAGCTCATGCGCTTGATAATCCTTTTTTCAATCGACGAATAATCCTCGAAGAATCCTTCTCTTTAAATCGAGAAAGAGAGAAAGGAAAAGGACAAAAGAGAAAAAGGTACACAATGATTTATCTTTGAAAGATTTAACAATTCATGCGAATCCAGAGAATTACTAATTCGCATCTTCATGCGACGTAAAGAGAATATCGACGAGAAAGACGTGCGAGAATGCTTCTCTGTAATAATAACTAGTTCGGTTGAAGGAAGTCGAGAATTAATTAATCTCTTATCTTTCTCTTCTTGATTTATATCAAAAGATTTTATTTTGTATAAAATGTAATTGGATGTTTCTTATCACATATTTTTTTTCCCATCCGTTGTATCTTTCTTTCTTTCTTTCTTTCTTTCTTTCTTTCTTTCTTTCTTTCTTTCTTTCTTTCTTTTTTCCTTTTTTTCTTTTTTTTTTTCCTTTTCCTGTATACATAATAAAATTAGCTCTAGCTCTATGTCCAATGTTCAGTATGACATCACTGCAATAAATCGCATTGCTTGGTAATTTCATATGCGTATGCGTAAATGTCATATAACGAGTAAATCTGTTTACCAAATAAACTTGATCACGACCTCGACGATCGTCTGAGGTCGATCGAGCGACTGACCTAGCTTGCCTTAAATATTCTTT